TGAACAAACTCCCTCTAGCTTTTGCTTTGATATAAAGAGGAGATCCGATCAAGAAAATGGAAACAGATATAATCATGAGCAAAGCGGGGACAGCAAACCCAATTTGCCAACCAAAATGGTCTTGGATATAAACAATTACAGTAACTGCAAGAACAAGTGAAACTCCTACACTGGCATAATACCAGTTGAAATAGCTATCTATAAGCCTCTCGTTATCTGGATTTTCTTTGTTCTCCAATTGGTCAGCACCAAATGCTATGGAACAAGGTCTATTAAAACCAGTACCAATGGCAATAAGCCCAAAAGAACACAAAAGTATAGCAAGTTGGGCTGCTGTTGTTCCATTACAACCATGTTGATACTGACCGCAAGGTAAAGGCCGGAGTTGTGGAATTATTGTGGTGAGCCAAAGAATACACATTCCCTGTTGAGATAAAAAGGAATAAACCTCTACAACTAAACAAGGTCAAAAGATGAAAACATGAATAAGTCGTATAATCTTGAATTCTTCACTGATGAGTAAGTGAGCAAGTATAAGAACTTGGGATAAAAGTGACAGTTGTGCTTTTTTCATTTTTCATTTCCTAAAGGATAATGTACCCTGGCCTGACCAGATCTATGGGCTATCAGCAACATATAACAGACGAGAGCTTGAAGTATACCGAGTTTCTGAGCTATACAATGTCCATAGCGGGAACGAGTAATTCACAAAGCAACTATAGCCATCCCAAAACAAAAACTTGGTAGGCAAAGGTGCTGCACAGTGAACCAAATGAGTTGGTAAGCAAAGATAAGTTAACTATTATGGGACAAACTACTAGCTGTTGCTACTATCTAAGTTGCTTGGACTCTCCAAAAATATTGCCGCACCCGTGTCAGATCCTTCAATAATACACTGTTTTTGGAGGATCCGACACGCACCTGTCGACATTTTTTAAGAGTCCGAGCAACATAGACTACTATTGCCACAGTTCTGTTTCTATAAATGAACTCCTGATGCCCTCCAGTCTCTAAAAAACAAACAACATATTTTTTCTTAAAATTATGTTTACACTTACATTGGAACTTTCTTGTTCTAACTAGACATTCGTACGGATTTTTTTTTAACATACTGCATTAACAAAAGAACACTAGTAGGTTTCTTCTCATCTTTCTAAGCATTAGTGGAAGAGTTACCAAGTATTTGTGTTGGTGAGAGATAACGGGTATCCGTATAGATTAATTGAGGTGCACACAAGTTGGCCCAAACACCACCGTTGTTAAGAAAAAAATAAAGAGAAGCACACAATGTGGTATAAATCGAGTTACCCTCCAACTAAACTTCTACTCCCTCTGTTTCAATTTGTTTGTCTGAGTTTAACTTGACACGGAGTTTAATCTTGTGATTTTAAACTAAAGATAGATAGAATATACCAAAATGTCATGTAGTCTTTTGGTTTTAAACATGCCACAAAGAGATCTTCTTCTAGTTGCGGGATGAAATTTGACAACCAATTGCTGGGTCTGAATAACCAGCCCAACAATAAGCTCAATTGTTCCATAAAAGAATTAAAACAAACAAATTGAAACGGAGGGAGTACTATATCAGGAACTAAGAAAAGAGCATGTCATTTTAATAAGGGAAAATGCTCAAATAGGCTATCAAACTTTGACAAAAGGCTCGTTATGTCATCTGTTAAAAGTTTGACTCATCTATGTCATTTCCATTTGAGAAAAGGCTCATCCATGCCATTATTTGTTAACGTTGAATGGCATATTTGAACCTTTTCCCTTTTAATAATGTAGCAAATTTTGTGCTAATTGCTAAGCTAAACAGGACAAATTGAAAACAAGAAGATAAAAATTAGGTGAACGTAAACTTACAATTAGACTGGAGATGGTTCCAATAGCAACAGCCCTAAACCTTCCCAAGTAAGAATCAGAAAGAAAGGCACCAAAAAGACCTAAGCCATTTGAAAGTGCTGTCCATAATGCAAGCAAGACTGAAGCAGAAGCAGCTTCCATATGATAAAATGTTGTTAGGTAGATTATCATGTTTGGGAGCAATCCATAACTTGCCAATTTCTCACATGATTCATTCACTACAACAAAACAAAAACAAGTTCAAACAACAAAAGTAGAGAAGATACAAAAAAGAGTAAGAATTAGAAAGACATACACACCTATGATGAAAGGCATAGTTATTAGACCACCCTTTCTTGAATTTTTTGAGTGGTTCAGTAACAACTCTTCTTGTTCTGATTTGTTTCCCATTTTCTTCCTTGTTCAAATTTCTTGCTTACTCCAAGCTGCAGAGTGAAATAAAGAGAGCAGAAATGCCTCAACTTTTAAGTCTGAGTGTCTCAAGAGAGCTTAAATATTGGAAATATTAACAATTTGTTTGGATGACTGTTATTTGCTGTTTGATAATGTATTGTATTGTGTAGTATTGTAAAGTATTGTATTATTTTAGTAAATACAATGTTTAGATAAATTGTATCATTCACCATTGTTACATAATATCATACATTCATAATTTGAATGATAAATTTACAAGAAAAGTAAGGTACGACGTAGAGTTACTATGAAAAAATATGATAACAATGAAATATGATTATTAAATAATAAAATGAGAAGAGAATATTAAGATAAGAATGCGATCACACCAAATCGGTCGATACATAAAATTTATCTTATCGTCGTTATCTAATGATGAATTTAAAAGATACAATATAATTTTAAGTAACAATCAATTAGAGATTAATCTTTTGAAGATTATTATAATATGCATTAGCTGGGGTGCGTAAAATATTTAAATTATTTGGAAACGTTTTAAATGTTGAAATAAACTGATATCATGGCCCACCACACTATTACAAACTTACCTCTTTTAAGTTTGTGTCTATATATTATCCTTGTATTTTAGAGGTCATCACCAGAATGGTGAAAAGAAAATTACTCTATCTGAGTTTGACTTTAACACAAAATTTAAGAAAGAAAAACTTTTGAAATTTGTAGTCTAAACTAAGTCATAGATATTTTTGTAATTAGAAATCATCTCACTAAGAATAAAATAGATGTTTAAAAGTTAAATTATTACGAAATATAAAAAATATCATTCTTTTGGTAACGGATTAAAAATAAAAATAAGTCATATAAATTAAGACGGTGGAAATAATTTCTTGGTTTCATTTTTTTTTTGTAGTACTCTAAATCGATAATGATAATTTATTTGATTTTGACTTATCTATACTCATATAATAGGCAATTATGACTTTGACTTTTTAATAAACACCTCAATTGTATCATATTAACCCCTTACAAATGTAGAAATATTCAAAAGAAAGTGCAAGTAATTCACTTCATTAATTAATTACTTAAAAATGACATTTCAATCGAGAAATAAAAGTCAAAGTTTTAACGTCTACATAATTAATTTTATACTAGTACTAATTTGCTTATATATGATATTTGATTCTATTAAAAATATCAAATATCAAAAAATTGAAATGTTATATTAACAAACTAACAAAATCACATCATTCCTATTAAGTGACCTCTAAAGCTAAAAAAAATAAAAAAAAAATGGTGTGAATCATGGTGAAGTACGTATTTCCTCCCATGTCATTACGATGGATTTTGAAAAAAGAATGTCTGATCATCAAAAAATTTATTGACTAACACACAAAAAAACTGAAAAAATCGTCTAATTCTTATGGAGTGATCCCTAAATGCTAAACAAATGGCGTGGATCATGATGAGGCTATATGAATAGTTCCTCAGGTCATTACGGAGAGTCCTATAAAAGTTTTGAAAAAAAGAGTGGCCAAAAACAATATCACCAAAAAATTCATTAACTAACACACATGAAAAACTGAGTAAATCTCCTAATTTGTGTTGCGTGGCCCCTTAATGCTAAAAATGATGTGGATCAAAACCACATCACCAAAGAAATCATTGACTAACACACATGACAAGGCTACACATCTTTAGGTCATTAGAGGGTCTTAAAAAGGTTATGGAAAAAAAAGTGTCTGAAAACCACATCACCAAAGAAATCATTGACCAACACACGAAAAATCACTTAATTCCATTAATGAGGCGATCCTCGATCCCCACCCAATGTATATACCTCTCGAGACCCTCAACACCTCTCTTATTGCAACTAAATATTCCGCACATAGTGCTACTCCATTTGTTCTTTGGTCGGTCATCCCCAACCCTCTTCCATTTAATTTCCAAATCCTTTGTCAAGAGTTTATGCTGGGTCATAAAACTTTACAAAAACCTTTATCAATCTCCCAATTAAGCAAATAGTCTATCTAAGTCTTAGTCGATAACTACCGAAGGTCATCAAGTGCTTCTCCTTCCTTGGGAATATAAATTGGGTAACACAAAAGTCCCTCCAACCTTTTTATAAAGCCAACTAAGTTGAGATCACTCTTACCTACCTCTACTTTATGTCAAGAGATAAATAATTCAAAACGGAGATGAGGAATGGTTGCCATGAAACCAATGCATTGGAAAAAACTGTTGTGCATATCTTAAATAATGCAAGGAAGGTAACTCCACTAAAATAACAAACTTGTAAAGAGGAATCATTGGCTTAGAAAACAATTTTGCATTTAGCATACCATGTTGGAAAGCATTTATAGCAGAAATTAAACATTTCAAGAAAATCTGGTAACTAACGCAGTCTAGCTAACATCTCTTCCCTCGAATAAACAACTCTTTACGACAAATTTATAGAGACCCACCATGAGAGATAAAATTGAGGTAATAATGTTAAAGAGTACCAAACAGCTCAAGCTGGAAATAAGTGATTGCATGCTCAATTTTATTACTATATGAAATTGCAATCGTGTAAGAAAAAACGCAGGCCAAGATCAGCAGCAAGAACCGTAAAAATGTAAACAGAACCATTTCCTAAAATAAAGATGAACCATTTCAATATTATAAGCAATCAGAAGAAACTCAAGCTTTTGTCATCAGAACTATTGTTGCCTGCAGTTATCTCTTTCCCTCTCTCCAGCATCCAAGCAAAATATAATCAAAATTGCAACCATATTGTTCGTCTCATGGTAGTGTGGATCTGAGTTCTTTCCTATCTGCTCCAAAGACCTGAAAAGAATACCCGCCTATCAGTCCATGACATTTAAACATTCAGAAACTAGTGATTCACTCACAACAGAATTGTCCTCAAAAAGACCATCTTTCATATAACATTCTTTATTTGTTATCAGCCATATTATTTCTTTTACTCTGTGTAATCATAATCTACAACTCCTTGTAACAAATCACTTTTTTCTACAGTACAAGGTCACTTCTCCAAGCCTAAAGTAACAACACTTTTCCATACTACAAGCCATCATTATAAGACTTCTGAAGCACAGAAAAAATCATCTGATGGCTTCTGGAAGACCACAAAGCCACTGTAATATTTATAAGGAACTAATACAACTAAGTCATACAAGAACTATGAAAGAATTTGAACATCCAACACAAAACCAAATCTTAAGTACTAGGTAAAATGCTCCAAAACATTTACAAACTTTTGGATACCTTTTTATGTCCAATGTGGAATACCTATATAACTCAACACTCTCTCGCATCTCTAATTCAATTTTTCAGAATCACATGTGGCTTTAAATCAGACTCATGATTGTGAGAATAGATTAGTCAAAGGTTATCTCTAATTCCAGTTTACACGTGAACTGAATACTTCTTTTACTTTTTGTTTGCTTTACTTTTCCAGACATTCTTTTTGTATTCTTCTTTGAAGATCGAGGTGGCTCAAAAAGCTGGATAGCAGACATTATATATATATATATTATTTTTTTCTTATTTCAGCTGTAAGCTCTCTAGCATTCTTGAAGTATTTTATTACCATTTCAACAATTAAATGGCTAGAACGAGTAATTGAGGTATCTTCTATTAGTATAGTATAACAAAGAGGTAAAATGCTGGATGAAAACAACTGCGCACCTCAACTCCAAACCCTTTCACATATACATTAGTAAACAGATCAGAAGGATCAGGCATGGGGATCTCCTGAAAATAAATATGATCAATCAGTAACCGGCCATTATGCTTTAAAACAATTCCCTACTATTCTTGAATCGTGACGAATTAGACAAAACTGGCACCATTCTTCTCACCTTTGCTTTAGCAATGGCTTCATCAACCACTTTCCTCTTTCCTTTCTCGATATCCTGGGCAGGAGAATAGATAGTTTAGCAGCATTTTATAGGTCAAGAGCAACATAATCAATCTATTGTTGCACATATGGTTTTCTAGGTTTCAATCTTCATTATGACATGAAAACTTACCTTCAGCTCCTGCTCAGTGGCTATATTATGGTCTAAGATGAGATTCCTAATTCTTTCAACAGGATCACGTTCCTGTAAAGTTGAAAGATGACTATATCAGGATACTTGAGTTATCTGCACATTCAGATAGGTCAGGGAGTCTTAAAGAATATATTTACCCCTCGAACACCACTAATCTCGTCACGCGTACGGTAGGTGCTTCCAGGATCAGACATTGAGTGACCATGGTACCTGTAGGTGTCCATTTCAAGAATCTGAACCACACAAAAAGGGAAAACATCAAATTAACATGATATGGAAAGAATGAAATCAATAAATTGGAAAAACAAATTGAATTTGCAACAACTTCAACAAACAATGACACGAGTAAAAAATGAAATAAAATTTTGGGAAAATACACGGAGAGCCCTCAATTTTACCACCAACTGTCAGTTAGACACCGTAACTATCCTGGTGACCGTGTAGATACCTCTTATTGGCATAAGTGTGTCATGTGAACACCAGAATCCAGCAGACCTCCCGCATGAAGTACAATCACTTTCTGACGTGTTATGAAATAAAGTTTTGGTAAAAGATACGGATAGCTCTTAATGTTACCACCAACTGCCAATTGGACACCTTAACTATCCTGGTGACCATGTAGATACCTCTTATTGGCCTAAATGTGTCTCATGAACACCAGAATCCAGCAAACCTCGCACATGAAATACAATCACTTCCTGACGTGTTAAATGAACAACTGAAAATTTGACGTGTATCATGGTAAAATGAATAAACACAATAAAATAATACAACCAAAAAAAAAAAGAGGAGGTCCAAACCCCTATTCTTCTTTATCCTATACCATCTACAAACAAAAATAACAAATTAAACCCCATCATAGTAGCAGCAAAGAAGGTTCAAACAGGAATAACCAGAAATCACCAAACTTCAAAACCTCTAATGAAACCTTCCACCATAACCCACCCACCCTGCTTTCCTCGTATTTACTTCGTAATTTCATCCCTCTTCTCACCTTCAACAGTCCCCAACTTCCAGTTTTTCTATAGAATAAAATCAATCCTCTTTGAGGCATACTTTGAATATCATTAGTGCTTATGCTCCACAATCGGGCTTAGACGAGGAGGTCAAAAAGCGATTTTGTAGATGAGGTTGTGGGAGGTATTCCATGCACTTTGTAACAATAAGGGCATTTTTGGACCAAACTATTAGGAATGGGGGCATTTATGGATCAAACTATTGACCGCAAGGGCATTTTTAGACCAAACTATTAACTGAGAGTATTTTTGTTCAATTTCGCAGAGTTCAAAGGTATTTGACCCTTTCCATTTTAATAAAGGTTGTGTATAGCACGCATACACCCCTGATTGACATGTATTTTTTCCTTTTTCTCGGCTTCTTAAAATTTTCAAAAGTTAAAGTTAGTTTTAGCTCTCCCCCTCCCCTCTGGTTCATACCCCGAATCAAATCCACATGTTGCCCATTAACTCTAATACACCATCTCTCCTCCAAGGCCATCCCCTTCAACTCTCCTTTGTCTGGCCTTATTAGGAGGTATTGATATCTGTTCAAAGTAGTACAAGAGGTAATAGGACCACTCCATAGTTAAAGCTCATCGAGGCAAAATCAGCCTACTCTAGGGAACATCTCATGTATTGTTCAACCATAAAACACAGAATAGCATCATGTCAAGACACTAGATGTTTTATGGAAATGAATAAAATATAATGACTGTTAAGCCATCTGATTTGAAAGGTCTAGCATCTCATTCATATCTTCCAGCTATTTTCCTCCCTTCAATATTGAAAGAACTGCTAGCATTAATATAGTGACACACATTTTTTCAGAAACTTCTCTTAAAGAAGAAAGGAGAGCAGAGAGAAAAGAATTATCTCTGTCAAGCCGATGGACTTGCTTGAGCTCCTAAAGAAGGGCTCTATGACCATGAAAGACCAAATAAAGAATCAGAAAATACAGAATAGTATCATGTCAAGAAACTAGATTTATGTAAAAGAAGACTATATCGCAACTGTTAAGCCATGTGATTTGAAATGTCTAGCATCTCATGTTCATTTCTTCTCATGCCTACCCAATTTTCTCGTATTACTTGTCTTAACCTAGCTAATCAGTTAACTTTGTGGAAATATCTATGAAGCCCCAAGAGTATCTAATATCTAGTATTCTAGTATTTAAAACATCTTTCCATGTCATACATACACGTGACACTATTATCACTAAAGAACGTGTGAAATGCAACTGCATATCAATACTGGAATTTAGACATGCTATGTACTTACAATTGGTCCTTTCGTGAGGACATGATCCTTGGCAAATTTGCATGCTTGTTTTACAGCAAGGGCATCCATACCATCGACCTATTTTAAAACATAAAATGAAGAGCACTGTTAGCATACTCTTACATTCTCTTCTCAAACTTTGTATCGATTCTCACTTAGAATGATTTAATTGGGTCTTTATATTTGCAGCAGGAGAAAGCTTTTTCATATTTTTTTTAGTTTCTTCTTTCTATGTTGAAGATGTGGGTGGCAAAAAGACCAATGTTTATGATGCAAACAAGAAATAAGCAATATTGTAGTATATAAACTAGAGTAAATACTCTCTTGCTTGTCCACCAAATAGCGAAATGCAACTCCAATTTGACCCCAATGGGATGTAAGCCTTGCGAAACATCCGCAAACCCAATAAATACAGAAGAGAAAATAGCTTTTAGTTGAAGTTTTAAAGAAGATCATTTCTTCTTAGACAAAACATGCAAATATATTATGAACAACTGAAAAATTGCATGAGAATTAGTGTTAAAGTTGTCATTCATGGGTTTTGAAATAAATGTTAAATGAATTTCACAATTTAAGCGCCCAAGAGTGTGGATTAACCGTCAGAAGTTGAATGGGCCATGAGAGAGCAAGGTTCAAATCTCAACAGAGGAAAGAAAACGCTAAATGACGTCTTTCTATCTATCTAAGATGAGTGAACAATGCTACCAAGTACTTGTGTAGGTAGGAGGTAATAACAAGTACCGAGTAGATTAGTTGAGGTGTAAGAAAACTACAAACTTTTTCTCTAGAGTTCTAAAGCATTTTGCTGAACCAATAACCTAAAAGGATATATAAATGTATTTTTTGAACGGTTATACATGCATTAGTATGAATATATTCACAATAAAACAACTACAGAGTGTAAGAATTTCCATTGTGACGGTTTAACTAGCGGAGACTCTTGGAACAGCTGGAGTTAGAAATCCCCAAATAAGAGTTAAAATTAATGGTAAAAACAAGGATAACACTACTATTTCTATGCTATATTATATTTAAGATGTGATTAAAAAAATTACAGTTGCAAACACAACATTTTAATCCTCATCTAACAGCATATATTCCAGCCATTTCCAGGCTTCAAATTGAAGAGAAGTTGGCCATTCTAGATATCTGATGTAAAATGTTAGTCTCCATTACTTAGTTAGCACATAAAGTAAAAACGGGGAACATCTAAATTATGTCTACAAATCATAACATTGTATTTACAAGATGTGACTGAGTATCACCTTTAAACCAGGAACATAATCCCCTCTTTTGTAATAGGCTGGACTCTTTGCAGCCCTCCATTCTGCTGTCCCCATTCCATCTGCATCAACAAAAGCAAGCACGCATAATCCTAGGCGCTTATCCACAATTTATTTGCATGAACCAATATTTTTTTCTTTTCATGAACACATCAATGCTATTGATGTACTAAACTTGCACCACATAATGTCAACAGAATATAAAGCATACATTTATAGTATTACATACAAAATCAGGAAAAATAGTACTAGTATAGTTCTTACAGTGATTATTCTCGCAGACTAGAATAGCAGGCAAATCCCATAGAGCAGCCATATTCAAAGCCTCAAACAACTGTCCTTGATTAGCAGCACCATCACCATACATAGCAAAAGTAACATGGTCCTCTTTGTTATATTTCTGCGCAAAAGAAATTCCAATACCTAGAGGAACTTGAGCACCTACAATTCCATGTCCTCCATAAAATCCACTATCCTTCTTGTAGAAATGCATCGAACCTCCTTTCCCTTTGGAACAACCATCTTTTCTCCCCATTAGCTCCGCAAACGACTCAACTAACCCTCCACCACGTGCAAGGAATATACAGTGATCTCTATAAGCCGTAATGATACAATCCTTTTTTGTAATTGCAGCTTCCATGCCTATTGCAACCGCTTCTTGTCCGTCATAGAGATGACAGAATCCGCGGATTAGTTTCGCTTTGTAGAGCGAATCTGCAGCGATCTCCATACGCCGCATCTCCGCCATGTCTGAGAAGAAAGTCATGAGTTCATTAGGGGTGGTTTCGACGATTGATGAGGGAGGATCAATGTTGTGAGCGGTGTACGGTTTGCTGATTTCCACATTGATGGTGGCGTTGGAGTCCGACGATAGGCGGCGGGTGGCGGCGGTGAAAGGCTTTAGAAGATGATTAACCGTCCGAATAGTTGATAAAGCCATCTTGATTGCAGCTGCAGAGGTGGAGAAACGGCACTGGTGAGGAAACCGGAAATCACAGAATCTCAGCAGCTTACAAGAGTTGGAGTCTCTTTAAAAACTTGTTTTTTTTTTCTTTCCATTAATTAAGAAGAGAACTATTGAAATCAATTTAAATTCGGTGCGAATTATTAGTTTTATCATTTAACTATTGATATAATAGTTTTTAAAAATATATTTGATTAATTATACTTAAGTATAATCGAATCTTACCGTATGAATGAAATACATCCCAAAATTATCTTGTAGAAACGTGAAACTATTAATAAAAATAGAGAAAAATGTTGAAAACAATCTTTTAATTAGTAATATTTTTAAGGTTGTCAACCGGTCGATGATGAAATTAATAATTTGGGCAAAGTTCACACATATTTTTCACTACTTCTCTCATTAATAATTAATTATCCATAATCACAAGTGAACAACATACACGTTAAACATTAAACAAATCCAATAAAAAGGCAAATACTGCATTAAAGGCAGGGGCGGCTCTGCCTTATAAAAGTTAAGGCATGTGCCTTAGGCCCCCAATTTTGGAAGGCCTCAATTTTTTACCAAAAACAAATTATGTGTTATTTTTTTAATTAAAAATATTAATTATTTATAATAAAAAGTATATATATATATATATATATATATATATATATATATATATTTATTTATTATATTTCTTTTCTAACATTCACATTATTTATTTTTTTAAACTCATTTTTGCTTAAAGTTTGTCAACTTATTGCTCATAGAATTGTGCTAACAACTCATATAATGATTGCTTTAATAAAATAATATTTTTCAATGTTAATTGATAAAATTTTACCTAAAACTAATCATTTTAATTAAAAAGAAGTACTCGAAAAAATCATTTATAAAAAAAATTAAGTAATAATTTGCATCTAAATAGTTATAAAAATAATTTTTAAAATAAATATATATGAAATTTGTTAGGCCTCAATTAAAATTTTGCTTTAGGCCCCCAATTATGTTAAGCCGCCCTTGATTAAAGGGTTGTTTGGTAAGGTATAAAAATAAAGTATTAGTGATGGTCATTGCATAATTTTAAAAAAGAATTATTTATTTACAAAAATATATTTCATAAATACAGTGAAAAAGAGTAACACTGTCTTTAACTATGCTAATGTATGCATGCTAATATCATGATTTTCTATGAATTAGTATACGTAAATCGAAAAAATATAGCAAATAAAATATTAATAGTACACGAAGCCAATGCATTATATTATGTATACCTGCATAATAAGCAAATATCCTCTACAACTTAGAAACTATAGAAAAAGATGAGACATAATCTTCGGATTTGGGACTTGACAATACCAGCACCTTGAGGGTGTACTAATTTCCACTCTACTCAACATTTTATGTACAACTACTCTGAATTTTCAGGTCATCCAAAAAAAGAATGATATCACTGACTCACCGCCGGTACTGGAAACAAAATCTGCACATAAAAGGTGAAGCAAGTGTAGTGTGAGTACGGAAAACACGTGTACTCAGCAGTATCGTTGACCGACCCTTAACTGAAGTGGTGGCGGGGTTGGTCTTATAACTGCTTACTTCAACATTGACTGTATATCAGTTTCAATAAGAATATACAAATAAGTCTGACAGATATGGTCACAAACCATCCTAGAATCCACTAATAAACTCAACAACTTCAGTAAGTCGGAAATAATGGAGATGATGCAATGTAATGTAATGACCAAATATAACTGGTATACACTCGCTCAATCTGTCAGATAGCATAACCTATAGGGGTGTCGCGAGGTTCATATATCCACCTGAAACCATATCCAACCAGATTACAATGAATAACCAACCATTCAAGGTTGAAACAACATCACTCTTCCTAGAGCCAGATCCAACTAGATCACATCTGACTGCTAACCTTTCAACGCTGAAATAACATCACTCCGTCTAAACCATATCTAATCAAAATCACAACGAACAAAATCATATGAGCCATCAAGTATAATATGCATGATATATCACATTAAAACATGAAGTTGTATACACACAAGGAATATAAGGAATCAATCAAATGCATTACAACAATTTACCATTTAGATCAAGGAAGCATTGTTGTCTCTGGGAGAACTATTACAAACTATGCCTTTGGAGGTGGGAGGTCCAGGAATGAAATTTCCATATTGGTTTTCTCTGGATATAATCTTCCTCATTTTCCCACAAGAAAGACGAAAAAGTTGCCTCCTACAGTATCTCAGCCTTTCACCAATCAACATGACAGCAGAGCTAAAGCTCACAGGGGAAATCATTTCAAAGCAAGCAATCATGGAAAGAAATTACCACTCTTTGTGCCTACAAGTGATGAAATGAACCAATAAATGATATATTTCGCAATAGCCAAAGGTTGCCTCTAAAAGATGTAGGGAACACTTCTGTGTACTTCAGTAGAAAATAAAAACAAGCTGAAACTGCAAATCCTCCTTTTGGAGAGGAAGTCCAAATATAAGAGTCAAGAGATGATACATATGTATTTTCTAGAATGTGTGGACCATCTGTGTAACATAAACTAAAGGAAGGGAAATCACTTTGAATGTAGATATGATTATAGGCCACTTGAACTTAAGATACTGCTGTTAGAATATCTTGAAACATCCATCTTGCACTGCCACTATGAATGTCAAATAACTTTTGTCAATGTAGCATCTAACTTCTCTCCTATCAATGTGATCCATGCCTGTCAAATAAAGGAGAAAAACATGAGGCTAAGGTGTGTTTGAAAGATGGAAAACAGGGATACTAATATAAAGGGTGAACTTCACAGATATTTGAACAAGTAGTTAGATAACAAATAGAGCTCATACACAGTATAATGACAACCACGGTAAATAGAGCTCACACACAGTATAATGAAAACCATGGTAAATAGAGCTCACACACAGTATAACTACAACCATGGTAGAGTTATGTACTTCATGTCACCAAAAGTGTAGATAGTATGATCACATAGACCTCAAGCTTGCAAAACCAAAGGTAAGGGAATATCAGTAACTATATAAGCGCAACATGAATGGTGATCCATACCTGGTCAGAAGATGTGAATCCTCTGATTGTATCACCACCAATTATGGCAATTCCTTTGTCTCCTAGAGGCTGCAAGATTACTGCCTAGTAAAGAATTATGGTTATTAATAACCTTTTGGTGAAGTTTCAACCTATAAACATGACAATATGAAGAATCCATGATAGAAGAGATCCTATAGATGTATATTGGGCAGACACCTTGAATGATAAAATATATTTTGGTGAGAGAAATGCTCATTTTGCTTTTATAGAGGTATGCATACATCTTTTAGCACAACTGATATTGTAAACTTGGGTGAAACAAGACAGAGTGTTGAGCCACAGGGAAAAAAGGGGGAGAAAGCAGGAATTAGTACTACCTGTGTATTTGAAGGAAGGAATGGTAGCTCCGACTTCCCAGGATAAAGAGATAAGTTGGCCAAGTAGCTCTCTGAAATACCGACAATCAAGCATGTGTAATTTAAACTTGGGGTCTGAGGATAAATTTAAATGGCGTCTTCATCTTTCAAAACATGCTCTCAGGGCGCATAATCTCATTTGCCCACTTGCTTAATGGAAAACACAGATATAACTATATCTTAAAAGCTAGAACGAAAGAAAGTTAGTGATATCACTTACGTGATGCAGATTTTAAAACTCCTTGGTAAAGTGACCCTTCTATCAATTTATTACTGTCCACAGCTACTGCATCACTTCCATTAGATAAAGATGCAGCAGCAAACCCAGTTTGAAGGATACATTTTCCATCATAAACAATGACCAGAGACCTGCAGCATGTGACATCTGATAGAGAATTCCATGCCCTGAGGATAGACAAAACAGCAAGACAGACATGTTAAATCATCAAGAAGTCACTTTCACGATGGCCAAACTCCAAAGGTTTCTCATCTAAAAGCGTCAGGAAATGTATAAAACAGTGCTTTCTTGGTTAGATATCATTTGCATACTGGAACAGTTGCTAGTGGAAGGTTTCGACCAATTGCACTTCATCACCATCTTGCCCTGCTTTCAATTGATGACCGGTTATTATATAAGTGTGGACCTAAGCCCCTGGGCAGAAGCATGTTGAAGGATTTATTTAACACATTCTTTTTCGGGAGGAGTTGTCTAATATATCAGTGCTGTAAAGTACACGAGCTGCAATTGTGTTAGTGAACAGAAAGTTCACACACTATTCACTATTTAGAAATGATGCCACCTTTTCATTTATACAACCAACTATATTTTAAAGCATCAAATGATGCTCTTTCCCACTATCATTACCAAAAACACACATTTTTTATATGAAAAATCCAGCCCCCGAAAACCCCTTCTCCTCAGAGGCCAAAAGTGACTTTTCCCACTTTCTCACCCATTGATAACTCAAATCCCCAGATTCGTGGTTAGGTGAAGGGTCCCTTCAATTAAATCAACGTAACCCTCTCGTGTTGACAAAAACTTCTCTAAATACTTCAAAAGACGTAAATGTTGAATACTTATAATCTCAATGACTAATTAATAAAGTTTTGTTTTTTGTGCAATAAGCCTCTCTGGGCAAAGACTAGTGGTCAATTTAAATCAATAAGCATTTGATTATAGAACCTAGCTCTCTTCCCTATGACTTGGCGAGGAGTATCATGGGGTGGAACTTTCACCTATAGGTGACCTTCAATCTGAATTTTTTTCGGCAAGAAAAAGATGATCAGTGTCGTTCCTCGAGTACAATGCATACTCATTACATAAATTATGTAATATGTATATAAACGCACAAACATATCAAATTAATATTAACGTGATATCAAAGTATAAAAATGAGCAAGTTATAAAGACCCATTTCAAAAACTGTTCCAGCTCATAAATACAATACCATAGCAGCTCAGAAATAACAAAATCTGGTAGGTGAGAAGCTATTCTTTGGCACTCTACACCGTTAGGATTTACCTGAAAACAAAAGGCTTAAACCGATCAGTTAATCTTGTGGTGTATCTACAGGAGGAGAAATAAACAATGAGCTGAGGAGAAAGAGTTGGATAC